GTGAGCTGATCGGCCTTGAAAGAGGTGAAAAGTTCAGTTAAGCTTCAGATGGGACTGTACTGCCAGGCAGCGATCCATCGCCCAAATGGACGTTCATTCTGCCGCTGCACTCAGCGGACGCGTGCGGCCGACGACCCAAACAGGTGACATGCCAAAGCAGACACGTGTGTCAGAGCTGTCTGCGTGTCTCAGTAATTCAGAAGAACGCAGGCAGAAACAGGGTTTAAATGCTTTTTTCCGGCCATGAAAGTACAAATACCTTTCAGCTCTGAACCTTCTGCCGCTTATATTCAGCTGCGCCTACTCGACCGTTAGTAACTAATTAAAAATGTCTGAGTTTTTTTTCCCGGGTTTGGACCTGTAATTGCTGTTAATTCGTCATGTCGGGTGGGGTTCGGAAATTATGACCGCGGGCTGAGGTCGGATCGGATCAGATTTTTTGGGCCCGAATGCAACTCTAAGCAACAATGACAACATGTTGAAGCAAATTTATTTTCACCCAAAGGCCAGGACATTTAAAACTTAAAACTTCTGACAGGAATTATATAACCTGCCAGGTTGAGCCCCTGGAGTTTTGGTTTAGCTTCTTCTTCTTTCAACTTTTCCCTCTTCAGGGGTCACCACAGCGAGTCATCCTCCTCCATCTCTGTCCTCTGCATCCTCTGTCCTCACTCCAACTACCTCCATGTCCTCTCTAACTGCATCCATATTTCTCCTCTTTGTCTTTTTCCTGGCAGCTGCATTTCTAACATCCTTCTACCAATATACCCACTGTCCCTCCTCTGGACATGTCCAAACCATCTCAGTCTGGCCTCTCTAACTTTACCTCAAAACCTGTGCTGTACCTCTGATGATCTCATTCTTAATCTTATCCATCCTTGTCACTCCCAAGTAGAACCTCAACATCTTCATTTCTGCCACTTCCAGTTCTTTCTCCTGTCTTTTTGTCCATGCCACTGTCTCCAGACCAGCAACATACAACATAGCTGGTCTCACAACTCTTGGAAACCTTTCTTTTGATGTTTGCTGCCACCCTTTTGTCACAATTCACTCCTGAAACTTGTCTTTATTTTATTAATTCAACTTTATTTAACCAGGCATAAAGACAAAGAACAAATTCTTATTTAGAGTGCTGGCCTGACAAGCACCAACAGGCACTTGTAGGGTCAAGGGAAGGGAAATACAATAAGGCAATACAATGAATACAGTAGTTAATAACAATCAAGGAAAACTTCTCTTAAATGATCTAACTTTTTGAATTGTTTCCACTCACTTGTATCTATCAGCCAGGTCTCTGGCCTGTTTGACATGTACGTCCCTCATGTCTTTCAGATCGGCCTTGGTCCCCACCAGAACCACATCCGGGTTATCACAGTAGGCGTTGGCCTGTAGCTGACCTGAACCAACACAAAAGAAGTAATTTTAATCGACAGCATGAAACCTGAAACTCTGCGTCAATCGAGTTCATCACTGATTTAACTGTAAAATCTCAGCATATTTGAAAATGAGTAGACACATACTCATCCAGCTCCTGACGTTGAGTAAACTCTGCTGATTGGTCAGATCAAACATCAACAGGAAGCCCATCGCATCTCTGAAGAAAGCTGTTGTGAGGCTACGAAACCTGCAGTAGAGCAGAACAATATATTTAAACCACAGGATATGAGCACCACTTGCGACCTGCCCAGGGTGTACCCCGTCCCTCGCACAGTGATTGCTGGACATGGGCACCGACGACCCCCGTGACCCAAAATGGAAGAAGCGGGTAAAGCTAATGGAAGGATGGATTTGAGCACCCAGAACTGTGTTTAGGTTGCCCACAAACTGTGGCCCACCGAGCCCCAACACAGGCCAGTTCTGGTGTTTTTGAGAGACCAGACAAGAAGAGGAGATAACACCAAAACTCATACCATCGGGTTAAAAATATCCCTGCAGAACAAAACAAGAAGAAAAGAAACAATGTTCTAACCTGCAGATACCCAAATCAGGCTTTTAGTAAATCAACTAACCCAAATAAGAAAAATATAACTAGCAAAAAAAAAAACATGCTTATTCCATGTTTGCCAGGAGTGTCTATGAAACCGAACAGCATCCCAGTGAACTTCAAACCCAACAACATCCTCAAACAACAACCGATTCATCCAGTGAACAAAACAACCAAACAGATGCAGAGTGGTGTTCCCTTCAGTGAAGAGCGTTAGGAAACTAAAAAACTACACAAATGCATAACACAACACAGAAGAGCCAACTGTTCAGATCAGGAATCTGTGGTCCACTTACATCTCAAGGACAGGAGACACTTTTCAAAGGACAGAAATGTCCATATTGTCCATGCTCATATTTTGGACAGATAAGATAAAATATAGATTAGATAGATAAAGATAAGATAAAACTTTATTGTCTACCACAATTGTGGCAGAAGCTCTTCTTTGACATGCTCTACATTCATCATACACACAAGAACCAATAGAACATAATAAAAAACACATTATTACCATTAGGTACCACCAGATGTGTCTACTTAGCTTTATTTAAGAACATTATTGCAGATGGTAGAAATGAGTTCTTATTTAAAAAAAAAAAGAAGAGGTCTTTGGTTTCTCCCATGTGTTGTAAAAAATATTATAACCTGTCAGAAAATTTACAAGTACTGGTTTTAGCAAAACTCTTTGTTATTTACATCAAACTTTGCACAGTGGCACAGTGGTTAGAGCTCTCGCCTTACAGCAGGAAGTTTGCAGGTTCGCCTCTCAGCCTGGGATCTTTCTTGATGGAGTTTTACGTTCTCCTTGTGCACATGTGGGTTTCCTCCGAGTACTCCGGATTCCTCCCACAGACCAAAAGCATGCAGGTTAGATTAACTGGTAACACTAAATTGTCCCTAGGTGTAAATGAGAGCATGAATGGTTGGTTGTCTCTATGTGATGGAGTTGCAACCTGTCCAGGGTGGATGGAAGGATGGGTGGATATAGCTGACAATGTGAGTAACAATACTGGGCATGAACTGAAACGATCAAAAACACACTTTTAATAAATTTTCACATTAAAATTATGTTGTGGTGTGACATTACTACGGCGGTTTTTGAACTCAATAAGCTAATTTAACACTTAAATCATAGCATCCAGCCCATCTTCTACAAACTTCTTATACATGACTTTAAACAAGTTTCCACAAACATTCACAAGCTCAAAATCTACTCCTGAACATTAAAAGCAACAATAATGTCTTCAGATTTACAGCATTGTTTAAACTATTTAAAGAACGGTTCTGATTTGTAGAAAAACTGAAAATCCAAACGGAGTGCTGCTTGCCTTGATTGCACAGATTGTAGTTTTTTGGCAGATAAAAAGAGAATCCATTGTACACTGGTGCTTTTAAAATAAACATGAGCATGCATCTATTACTTGCATCACATCAAAAGATGGCTGATTTATGAAATGTAGAGCAAACTTAATGTCAAACTGTACCTCTCTTGTCCTGCTGTGTCCCAGAGCTGAAGGTGGACTTTGAAGTTCTTCTCACCTGACCCGTCAGCACCGGTCCCCGAGTGCACCTGAGACAAACCAGACAGCTTCAAGAACATGTTCAAAAAGTTAACGATACTGGAAAAACTCTGCTCTGAGGGACTCCTATTTGTTGTATGTGTAAAATAAGTGGAACAATGTTTAGGAGCTGTTGTGTTTAGACTGCTAACATAAAATGAACATTTGAATTGAATTGAATTTGACCACATAAAATCGTTAGCATCACTAGTGTTTAACAAATGCAAGGACGTGTATATCACCAAATGTAATGTTTTTTATCATAATCTTATTTCTCAGAATGAGTTAGAACAACACTCACCACTCTCTTTTCCCTGAAGTCAATCCCCACCGTGGTCGTGAACCTCCGGTTGAACTTGTTGTCTGTGTACCTGTAGAGAAAGGTGGTCTTTCCCACCCCAGAGTCTCCAAGAGCCAGCAGCTTGATCAGATAGTCGTAGTCCCAGTCAACCATTCTGCAGATGTGTTCAACCTGCCAATGAATCAAATCCAACACTAGTGCTCTGCACAACGCAAGGTTTAGGCACGCAAATAATTCAGTAGAAAAAAAAAAAGGAGAAATTCTTCGACTAAAGCTGCAGTGTTCAGTCTGAGGCTGCAGGACCGTCACACAGGCTTACTGTAGCTGCACGTCATAACTCCACGGTCATTAGGCGCTGATCAGAGGAGGACTAGCACATGACTGGAGTTTGCATCCACATGAGCAGTCAAATGCCTCTGCAGAGTTTTATCTGAAGTTTCTCAGCAAAAACTAAAGGTCTGTTTAGCAGACAGGAGTCTTTTCATTGACCTAAAGAGCTGTGGGCAGACAGCTCATTTCTGCATGACGCCACTGAGGAGCTCCGACAATTCCTGAAGATCCCTCAGAGGCAGCGCTTGATAATATTCCATATCTCATTACTCACAACCAGAAGAAACCAAACAGAGGAACACTTCTGTACCAGATAAGTGTGGGAGATTATAATCAGCAAACCTGAACCAACCAACCAACCTTAGGGTGAAATTAACAAAGATTAACACAGATTATTAGTCCTAAAGTACTAAATATCAGTAAACATCAGTCTTACCAGCCTATCTTTATGAAGTACAGGCGTCCATCCAGAATTCGTTAATAATGAAGCGTTGAACCTTTTCTGAACCTTTTCCTCGTCTTACATGTGATGCAGGGAGGAGTTCCACATCGTTCCGATCCAAGTGGGGCTGAGCTTTCAGAGCTACTGCTGTTTCTCATGAGGGGACATAAAGGCTCTTTGAAAACTGGACTGTTGTTGCTTTCCACAAATTATACACGGCCCTGTTAGTGGGGAAAAAAAAAATCCTGGCCCACTTTTATAACCCTAACACAGTAGTTCTGCTTCTCTTAGCAAGATATATCCATTAAAACATAAACGTGAAGAAAAATACATCAGTTTTATTTAGGACAATAACATACCTGTAATAAATCAACAAATCACCAGTATTCTCTAACTGGGTTTAAAATACTTGAGCAGATTATTTGACTGGCTACTTTTTCCTGCAGCCTTCCTGTCTTTGCTCATCCAGTCTCTCCCCGGTTTTCTGGATGAGGGAATATTCATTACTGGCTTCTGCTGCTTCCACTCAGACATTAGCTCCCTTTGAACATCTGGCGGAAGTTTAGAAAACACCTCAGGGTCCACATTTCCCGGGAACTTGCAGTCATACGAAGACTGGGGTAATGAAAGTTTATCTCCTTCCATGACGTTCTGTATTTGAGTTGCTCCTGCAGGCCACAGCTTAGTCACGGCGGTCGTTCTGTCAGATGGGTCCAATTTGTTTACCGCCTCCGAGGGCTTGTTCTGGGATATTTGAGAGGCATCTGTGGCTGAACTGGCTGACTGACTGGACAGGGAGTTTAGGTAGGGAGGAGACAACAGCTCCTTCTGGATTTCCTCTGGAAGCATTTTAAACACCTCAGGGTCAACATTTAGTGGTAACTGATGCGTTGTAGTGTTTGTCATTCCATCATAGCTGAGTCCCTCTGCGCTGCAGGACGCTTTCTGACTCTCTTCTTGGACAACAACAGAGCTTTGCTCAGATGTGAAGCCATGCAATGACTCCTCAGAGCAAGAGGAGCTTTTTGTGCTGAAAGGGCGTTTTAATGAAGCAATCGTACTGCGAGCGTTGGCCTGATGATCCAAGCAGCGACTGTCTGCATTCTGAGATGAATCATCCTGGCAAAGAGGAATAGCATAAATTATTTCAAGAATTTCTGAGAATTAGCACAAAAAGCAGCCCAAGATGTCTCGAGGATGAAAATCACAAGATCTTTGCTTGCCTAGTTAAGTTCCTAAAAATAATAATTTGAGTCATTTATCTCTTATTTTCACACACTACCTGACTTTGTGAGGATAGGATCTGAAATTTTCTGGGAGAGTTCTGTGTGAAGAATGACGTTATGGCACCCATCCTGCTCCCACCAGCCCCTCTGCTCTGCAGGTTACTGAAGCAGGTATTGATGAGTGTGAGGTGAAAAGCAGCGCTGCTGTCCACCATCTTGTGGAAGAGCTTCATAGCCAACGGGATCAGCTGGACCACAGCCTCTTCATGCATCCCTGGAAGAGAGAAGAAGAAAATATGCTTGTCTGGTACTTTGAATAGGAGGACATATGAAAAATTATTCTAATTTTTTTAGATTTGGTTTCACTGCTTTAACAGAGACAAAAAAAACAGGCAGCAACACTGTTCTTTTAAGACGTTTAAAAACTAACTTGTGTAACTCAAAGACTCTAAACTAAAATAATTTAAGTGTTTATAGTTTTAAAGTACGACGGAGCTTTAGGGCCAAGCGAATACATTTAAAAAATTTACATGGCCACGCTAAGAAGAACAAAATTAAAAGCCATAAAATTACGAGAATAAAGTCGTATGAGACTTTTGCAGCTCTTGTTTTTTTTTTTTTCTTTCCACGAGTCGGATCCACGACGCGACCTGTCAATCAATCCAGTAGGCATGTGGTAAAATGAAGAATGTTGAGCATGCTTATGATAAAACGAAGCCGCATGGCACTATAATTAATTGCCGCATTGACAGATTTAGTTGTTACATAATGTGCATGGAGGCATATTTCACAAACAGTGACCCAAAAGTGATGTTGGACTATTCATAAACACAGTGACTCGCACTGGAGGCTGTCCACAACACTCACAATGCAACTCTTGATTTTTCAATCATTTAGCTTCGGATTGGTCATTTGCTGACACGCCTACTGGATTGATTGACAGGTCGCGTTGTGGATCCGACTCGTGGAAAAAAAAACAAAAAAACACGAGAGCTGCAAAAAGTCTTGCACGACTTTATTCTTGTAATATTAAGTCTTAATTTTAATTACTTTATTCTCGTAATTTTTTTTCTTAGCGCGGCCCTAAAGCTCCGTCGTATTATAGAGGTTTAATGACAAAAATAAGTTTTTTTCTTTGTGTAATTTACCTTATTTTTCAGACTATAAGGCACATTAAGCAAAACAAAAACAGTCAGACAAGTCAAACTTTATTCGACTCATTCACAATAACCACATAAAATCGGTTCGAGTCAGTAAGCACAACTAGAATTAATGCGTAAAGCACACCTGATTATAAGGCTCACTCTCGATTTTTAAGAAAATTAAAGGATTTTAAGTGCGCCTTATAGTCCAAAAAATAAGGTAGCTTACTCCTTCAAGAAACTCTAATATTACTACGTCATTAGACATTAAAAATGCACTTAAGCAACTTACATGGGTTTCATTTGAAACTAACAAGACATTTTGAAATGTTTTCTAATGACGAGCCAACACATCACACCAATTAGTATTCATGATAAAATACACGTGATCTTATCACAGTGTTTGCTGGAGCACAACGTACCAGAGGTGATCTTCTGTCCGATGTGGCTCGGGACCGGGCACTGGCGGCTCTCCCGGTTGAACCACTTGTTGGTTGCAGAGAATCGTCGGATTGTAAGCCTGAAGGTTCGAGGCAGTCGGCCATCTTTGTGCATCCTGATTTTAAAAACATCACAGGAATCGATAAGAATTAAAAACTCTAACTTTAAACCGATCTCTTCCAGATTCAGAGGTGAGGCGCTGAATCTGATCCTGACCTCTCCACCAGACTGCTCAAGAGCTCCTGAATCTTCTCCAGAACTTCTGAAACTGAAGACATTTTTTTGAAGGAGTCTTCATCGCTGAGAGACTGAAACATAAATTATATATTATTATATATATGGGGGAGTGGTGGCGCAGAGGTTAGAGAGGTGGGCTTGTGATCCGAAGATCGCCGGTTCACGCCCCGGCCCCGACAACATCAAAATTGTGGGTGGGGTAGGTGAAACACCCACACTTGCCCCCACCCTCATTCACCCCACTCTGGGCCCATGAGCAAGGCCCTTAATCCCCACCATGTGCTCCCTAAAACAGGTCTCTCTTGAAAATGAGTTCTCGTGGCTCAATGAGACTAACCTGGATAAATAAAGGCTAAATGAAAAAAAAAAATATATATATATATTAATTCAGGCGTTAAATATAACACGGTTTAAATTAAAGACCATAAATAAACCTTTAGAAATTTAGTGCTTCATTCGAATTAAGAACGGGGACTAGAAACCTTATTAATGAACAATTAATATAGGGTTTATTCATTAAATATGCGTTTCCAAAAACAGACTCTTACTTTAATTTTTATTTTATTTTTTGTAAGTCTCAACCTTCCAGTTTTTAAAAAGGTTTCTGTGAAGGAATTTAAGTTCCAGTGGATCCCAAGCTTTGATAATGCAGATTCATTATTTACAGTATTTCATCAACAGGAAGCGAACTGTACTTTAAGAGGATAAAACGTCATGACTTAAAAGTGTGAACTACTTTAAAAATATATAACAGTGGATCTACTCGGATTAATGCGCATGCATCAGGATACTTTAAAAATAGATTCACAACAAGTATTTTACTTTGTACCAACAGTGTTATTGTAGAAAAACTACCACAAACTCTTTTACATCAGAAGGTTTTAGGCTTTTTTTAATAGAAAAATGGGTGAAATTAAAGATGAAGGACATTTAGTCTGTTTGAGCATTTCTTTTAGAAGACAAAATATTAAAAGTCATGTTCATGGGAATGCAAAACTAACAGTTTAATTAGCACAGAGAACACAGCACATGTATGTTTTCTTTGCAAGATTCTTTAATTTTTAAGAATAGTTTTATATGGTATAAATCTAAACACACGTACAACCTCCTGACTTTTCACTGCCAAATAGCTAACAAATAAATGCTCTTTAGGGATACACTGACGTTAGAAGGTTTAGGGGTATGAAAGCCTACCTGAGGGGCCCCCGTTGGGGTGACCGGTGAGTCATCAACACCAAAGGCCAAATTCTTTAAGCGCTGAGCGGTGGGGCCTCCAAACTCCCTCTCCAAGTCATTCAAAGGGTAGAGCTGTAGCTCGTTAACATTGACCAACCCCAGAGCTTGAAGTCTCTTCGCAGTTTGATGACCCACACCTAAAAAAAAAATCACAGTAACACAATGTGATAACACAATGCAATATCAGGGACACAAACATAACAAGAACGATTTAAAGTAAACAGTATTTAAGTGATTTTCATACACATTTTGTTCAAATTCAGTTGAACCCTTTCAACAAAACAGAACATCAGAACACTCAATGAGAACATCAATCACTGAATTTTCTGCATGTGTACCGGGTACTTTTCGGAGGCCACTCAAGCATCCCATGATGTCAGTGACGTTCTCCTGAAGTAATATGGTCTGCTGGTTTGGTTTGAAGGTGCCTGAAACTAGTTTGGCCAGCAGCTTGTTTGTGGCGATGCCAGCACAGCCAGTCAGGCCAAGTTTGCTGTGGATAGCTTCTCTCAGCTCTGCTGCAATGTGTGAACCTACAGCCAGCCTCTGGTGGTCACTGGTTTTAACATCTGCACCTGAACAGGAAAAGAAACGTGTAGATATATATTAAAAAAAATTCTGAAATGGGATGTAATGTTTAACTGTTAATGTGAAACTGAAAGTGCCATGCAAATATCTCACACTTTGAGCACTTTGTCTCTTTCACAAGTCATTTTTTCAGTTTCAGTGAGACAGATGCACAGTTAAGAACAAAAAAGCAGAAATCAGACTAACTGAAATGATTGTAGACATGTCCCTTGAACGATAAGCTGTCAAACTCTGTTGTCTGTGCTAGCCTTCGCTCCACCAGCTCCGTGACATCCATGAAGTTTTCATCAAATCCGAGCCTCTCTACGAGTGGACAATAGGACATCAGCAGTTCTGGAAGGCAGTCAGGAAAAAATAAAGCAAGGTGAGCGAAGAACTATAAACCATATGCAATGCTAGCTGAAGAACACCTCAGCTTTATTTTTCATTCAACCTTTATTTATATAGATAAATCACATTTTTGAAAGAGGTTTTTAATTCTGTGGGTTTCTGTATTTTAACATGTTTAAACTTATGCCTTCGTCTAGGAATTGTCCCTGCCGCATTTAAACATGCTGTGGTTAGGCCCCTTCTTAAAAAAACCTCACCTAGACCCATCACTTTTATCAAATTTTAGACCTATTTCTCATCTGCCTTTTTTAGCTAAAGTCTTAGAAAAAGTTGTTTTTATACAGTTACAACCTGTTTTAGAAAACCATGGTATCTATGAAACATTTCAGTCTGGATTTAGAACCTGTCATTCTACCGAATCAGCCCTGTTAAAAGTCCATAATGACATTTCCATGTCCATGGATGTCAAGTGTCCCGTTGCTCTGGTGCTGCTGGACCTTACAGCTGCGTTTGACACAGTGGACCACGCTGTCCTGTTGTCTCGTCTTCAACATTACGTTGGAATATCTGGTACAGCTCTCAAGTGGTTCACTGCTTATTTGACCAACAGAACGTTCTCTGTCATGCTGGATAATCTGTCTTCCTCCACTGCCCCTCTCTCTTGTGGTGTGCCACAGGGTTCTATTCTTGGTCCTGTCCTCTTCTCATTGTACATGCTGCCCCTTGGATCAGTGATAGCCAAACATAATTTTTCTTTTCACTGCTATGCTGATGATGTACAAATTTATTTACCAATGAAAACTAAAAACAGTAACCTTCTCACACCTTTCGCTGATTGTATTGCCGACATTAAACAGTGGCTTCATCTTAATTTTTTGTTTTTAAACGAAGGAAAGACAGAATGCATCTTCTTTGGTGATGATGCTCCCTGTAACTTTGGTGACCCACCGTTAAAAACTTGGGGATGACATTTGACAAGGACTTAAAGTTTGATAAACAAATATCCTCTGTAGTCAAGGCCTGTTTTTATCAGTTACGTCTTTTATCCAAAGTTAAGCCTTTTTTAAATCGTTCTGACTTGGACAAGGCCATCCATGCTTTTATAACTTCAAGGCTCGACTACTGCAATTCCCTATATGCAGGAATATCCCAATCCTCCATTAAGACGCCTTCAATTGGTCCAAAATGCTGCAGCTCGACTTTTAACCAACACCTCCAGACATGAGCACATTACCCGTTCTATTTTCTCTCCACTGACTTCCAGTCGATTTTAGAATTAACTTTAAAATTTTATAATTCACTTTTAAAGCTCTCAATGGTCTTGCCCCACTATATGTGACTGATTACAAGCTGTCCGTGATTATAGGAGAACACTGACATCATCTAATACATTTCTACTCTCTGTCCCAAAGTCCAAGTACAAACAATGGGGTGACCGGGCCTTTTCGGTCATTGCACCCAGACTCTGGAACCAGCTACCTCGGGACTTGCGCTCCATCACAGACATGGAGCATTTTAAATCTAATCTTAAAACCTTTTTATTCAGGCAGGCTTTCAATACCTAGTAGGTCTTTGACAATCTTGCTATGTTTTAATTGTTTTTGTTTTTAACTGGCTGATTTTTTACTCTTGTTTGTTTTTTAACTTCTGTATTGTGCAGCACTTTGTGCACCTTTTGGCTGCTGGAAAAGGGCTCTATAAATAAAGTTTGATTGATTGATTGACATTGAGCCTCAAAGACTCATTTACAAGTGAGACCTGTTAAATTAAGCTGTATTAATAGAAATGAACGCATAATGTTGATGCAACTTATCCGTTATCTAAATGTGCGTGCAACAGGAAGCAAGGCGAGACATTTAAAGTTAAATCTTCATCAAAATGGCATGTTTTTATACTGGATTCTAAGTAAGTGGATACATTTTGAGGAATGTTGTCATATTTTGACAGTTTAATGTTTGATTTTCCTGTTTTCTTTAAATAACATACAACAGCATGAACCTTTTAAACACCTGGTTCTCTTGTCTACCTGTCACTTTATAGGACATTTCTCTGTAGTGTGTCAGGTCTTCTCCTTTAACCAGCACCAGCTCAGGACATTTCTTTTTTGCATCAGTTACAGACATCAGCTTTGAGATGCCCCGCTCTCTTGCCACATAATTACAGGTGACCACGATGTATTTCTGCTGGATACCTGATAATAGAAGGAAACATTTTGGACCTTAATAAGAAACAGATTAAGTTTTAATTGTCATGATCTTGTCCCAGTTTACCTAAAGAGACTTCCCTCAGAGCTGGATTTCTTATCATTTCCACCTGAGCATAGAAGCAGTCCAGGTCAAAATGAAGAATGACTCTGTGTGCAGGTCCTGGTGTCTTTTTGGTGGCTGGGCCTGATTTCAAAAACAAAAATATCATGTGTACACGTCCAAAAGCCTAAATGACAACCAAAACAGGTTTGCCAGTTCCAGTTTTACCAGAAGTAGCTGCAGAGGTGGCGGAGCAAAGCGCTGCTGAATCCACGAAAGAGTTCCTCCACTCGCTTTCATCTTCCTCCATCTCATTTTCGCTACTGATCATTTTAAGACATCAATGTCACGAAGTTTGCATGTGTTTTTTTTTGTTTTTTTTTTAAAGAACGACGCTGTTTTTGTTTACTTAAAAAGCGTCTGCTTCACGTTTGCGTTGCGCAGCAGCGCCACCTACCGACGTGGAGGAGTTACTGCGACCGCAAGGAAAAAAAACAAAAAATAAATAAAATAAATAAATGTCCACATGCGTTTAAAAAAAAATACTCAGGAATTAAAGCAAAGTTCAAGAAAATTAGTTTTGGTGTTCAAATACAATAAATTACCGTAACGTTTAAATAAAAGTATTAAACGGTCGTCTCGCGACCCCTGAAAAACGTATTTAAACAGGACTGACGTCACTTAAGTGTCAGCGGGAGTGACAGCGGTCAACCATTAATCAATCAAACGGTCTGAACGTTGTCGTCTCCGGTAATGTTTCCTTCGTCCGGTCTTTTTGCTCAAGTAAGCTGCCCTTTCGTACAACGAGGGCGCTGCGAGCGGCCCCATTGTTTGTACAAACATGTCACAGAATCGTGGAATGCGTTTGGTGGCTTGTTTAAATCGTCGTCCGTCCTGGACCTAACAGGTAAACGTTAAACCACGTCAGGTGTGTGCTAGCTAGTTAACGGAGCTCAAGTTGTTTGCACTTTGTAGGAAACAAAGTTTAAAATTTATTGGTCCAGTTCAAATGACATTTTTTATTAAGTGACAGATTTTGAATGCCAGTCGTGCAAAACCCATAAATTAATTTTAAAGCAAGAACTTCAGAAACAAGCTGTATATTCGAGGGCGTTTTATTTCATCCACGCCTCTATCAATTAATAAATAATGATAATATATTCGAATAGGCCAATAATTGCACATCTCAACGACACAGCTTGTGAAAATGCACAAGAAATTGGTGCAATTGCATAAAGTTCAATTGAACAAACTGGAATTTAATTTATAATTACTAATATCTTGTAAATGAGTCCTCTATGAGGCTAACCTGTAAAAGGTTGAATGAACCTCTTTATATTTAATCACAATTCAAAAGAAAGTACCACTTTTCTTTTAAAAATCCTATTACAGCTCAAATTTTTTTTAATGGTTGCATCTTTAAAATGTGCACGTTTTTATTTTTTGACTAGATCGTTTGACTCTACAAGCACAAATGCTTGGTGTTTTACAAGCTTTGTGCAAGTGTTGCGTTTTGTGGGCGTAATCTGATTAAAAAAGTACTGATCTGTTTTCATTACTTGGGTTATGTTGTGGAGAATCTCAAGTTCATTTAGTTTTTCTTTACTAAAATGCTAGTTTTAATGTTTTTACCTTCGTGAACATGTTTATAGCATAACTTAGGGGATTTCAAAGTATTTCTTTCAAAATAACACGATGAAAGCTTATCGGTAATTTTAAGCCTTTTTATTTAATTTTGAATTCACAGGGAATGGCAGACCTTGTGGAGGACCAGTGAAGGATGAGTCTACAGACGAGTGCCTCCATGAGCTGGAGAGAATCAACAAGGAGATCGAAACTGTAAGGCACGAGGTGGAGCAGGAGCAAAGACGCCTGTCGTGCTACCAGACGGAACAGGCGGACAGCAGAATCGGTGTCCCCATCTCAAAGTTTGAAACCAGGGGCCCACCTTTAAGCAAAGATAAAACCTATGCACGAACGAAGAAGTACGTGGTGGACAACTCAAAACCAAGGACTGATTTAGAGTACGACCCTTTGTCCAATTTTTCTGCTGCCTTGCGCTCGTACAGTTCACCAGGTGAAGAGCACAAAGTGAAAAACCGAGAAGCAAAGAGATCTAGACACGCGCCTGTAGATCCGACGAAACCGTCCACCCATCAAGCACAGATGTCCCAATCACCATCTCCAGCGCTCCTCAGTGGCTCCACCGAAGACTGCGTCCTGGTTATTGATGTTCCTTTATTGCCTGAGAAAACGAGTGGTCAAGCACAGAAGGCTGTTACAGTCAAATCTTTTCAGGTTCAGAAACAAGAAGTGGATAAGGTAAAAATGGAGACTGCTTCACTCAATCCTCCACCACAGAGCGTTAAACAGCTTGAGGTAACTGTTGCTGTTCCACCCTCAATAAGGGACGACGTAAATAAAGTGCACGACTGTTTTTTAGTTGAAAATAATCAAGATTCACTTACTTCTGATGACGCTAAAGAATCTGAAAATGTTCATGGAAGTGCAGTTGATTTATCTTGTCTTCTTGAATCTACTAGTAGTGTTGAGAAAACGAGTTCACTGCAGCCACCAAATAATTCCCTCCATAAACCACTAGCTGCAAATTGTCCACATGCGAAAGATGTAACCAAACAAGCCCTGATGGTGGAGCTACCGGCTCAGGACAAGGCTCAAAGTGATTGCTCTCCTCCTGTGCCATATGTTGTGCAAGACAGTCAGAAAATGTTGAGCAAAGTACCAGGAAAGATGCAGAGGAACTCTACCATGAACAAGGAGCAAGCGGAGGCGGCTCCATGCAGCAGTCCGCTTTCATTTCAGGACGTTTCATCCTCTGTAAACTCACACTGCAGAGCTGAATCCGAATCCACCGAGCAGCTTCTGAAGGCGGAAAGTAAGGCAGTGATAATAATCGACTCCAGCCCTGATGAAGAAGAAGAGGAAGAGGAGGAGGAAGAACTCAACTGTGCAAATATGGAGCTTTCTGACAGTGACCCAATGGAGGAATGCTACAGGATCTTCATGGAGGCGAACAGTGAGGAAAGGAGAAATGAGGAGCATCCTGACACGACTGTAAGTATGCCATAGATAGTTTGTTCAGCACTGTAGACATGTGTTCGCTCATTTTAACGGTTTTAGGCTGGACCTGATATGGATGATGAAAAGCCAAAGGTCAACACCACACTCCAAGCTTTACCAGGGAAGAAGAGGGTGGCTCATGAAGCCACAAATCTAGAGGTCTAAACTATAAACACATTTGACTTCATTAGTCTCACTTTCATCTTTTAAGATCCTTTTTTTTTTTTAAATATTGACTTTGTCCATTCAGCAGCCACTGGCTAAAAGCAGACCTCAGCCCCAAGTTCTTGTGCCTCTTCGGGAGCCAGCTGCTTCAGGTTTTGGCTCTCGGCCTTCCATCACTTCTAAGATCCAGCAGGTACAACAGCGAGCCTCCATGCTGACTGCTTCAGTTAAAGCTGGGCAGGCGTTTGTTTCCTCTACAAATCAGAAGAAGCCAGAGACGCAAAGTGCACCTTCTGGCCCAGGCCCTGAAAACCTTCAGCCTGATCCAGTGCACAGTGGTAAGCATCTGATGCATGCATGTTTCCCTTTAGCTCATTTCTTTTGACATATTCCAGTAGCTTTGATTGGATATGTAATATGTGCATGTAATTTTTGTTTTAATCCACAGCGTATTTGAACTACATCCCTGTGGGAACTACAGTCATTGAAGTAGGCAACAACCTGCACTTGATCCTACCACAGGGTAGCTTCCCTCTGTCTGTTGCCTCCACCTCCAGCCCAGTTACTTCAGTGCTAACTCCAGTGAATCGAGTTCATCCGAGTCCTGTCTCATTCAACCAGCCTAATAATCTACCCACAGTTACAGCCTTGCCAAGATATCGCCCAGCTGCACCTGTGCTCATTGCTGCTCCTGCACGAAGGCCTGTTCTCAACTCTGGGTTTGCATCAACTTTACATTCAACAGCTGCTCCCACCACTTCTCAAGCTCCTGTCCAGGCAGCTGTTAAGGTAAAAGAAGACAATTGGTTTAGATTTGATAGTAATGAATCTTTAAAAAAAAAATTTTAAAATTAACAGTAGTATCTTTCAGTCAAGACCTCTACTTAAACGAAAGCTGAAACAGCCCTCTGAGGCTGCGAAGGACAAAGTTCCCCATGATGTTCGTCAGCGTTATGTGAACATGTTCACGGAGGAGTTTCTCAAAACGACACTCAATGTCAATGATGCTTTTGAGAAGGTAAGCATGTTGTTTTATAAACATCTTCTTCGATGACAAACTTGATTATTGATATTATTGATAGGCCCTCGCTGAGGAGAGAAGTGTCTACAACCGCAGCGTGAACAAGCTTAAATATCTGAGTGTTGCAGTCAATGCACTGAAGAGGCTGAAGAACCAAAACGTTGCCGCTAAAAGTGAGAAAATAAACCGTTTTATAAAATGGGTGGAAAAAAAAACCTTAAAGATTATAATCACTTGAAGTCAGTGTGTGCACTTTTTCTGGTACAGGTGAAACGAAGGTCCAGAGTCAAAGACCAAAAGGCAACATCCCATTAAACAGGAAGAAGTTAAAGCAAAATGGTCAAGTGGTTTTGTTTGAATACAGTTTTTATCACATTTATTTTTACATATGCTTACTGTTTTTTTTGTTTTTCTTCACAACAGATGATTTGGCTTTGTATGAAAGTTTGAAAGATTATATTTTGACTGATGAAAAAATTATTGAAAACAACTATCCTGTCCAGCATCCAGAAAAAACTGGTTCTGCTGTTTATTTTGCTGACAAGAAAGTGAATACAGATCGTAAGTAAACGGATTGCAGCCATGCAGGAAATATTTCCTGCTGTTCTCATATTGATCCACTAGAGGGGGCACTGGCATTTGATGGAGTAACGTTTCAGACCATTTCTTTTGGTAATGTCTTTTTTTTTAATTTTTGCTAAAAGCCCTTAAGAGGATCTGCTGTCGATGTGGAGCCACATACTCTGTGAGTCAAACAGGCAAACACGTCCGCAAGGAGGAGTGCAACTACCATTATGGGAAAGGAGTTGAGAAAAGAGGTCAGCAAACAGCTGATCATTTGTACCACCTGCCTTAGTGAGCAGATGCCCAGGTTTTAAATGCTTACAAGCTGGTTTTCTTAACAGTTAAAATGGTAGTGCTGTAATGCTTTTAAACACTTAAATACATTTAGAGGTTTGTGCGCATGTGTGTATAAGATGAATGTTTTGAAACTTTCAGTGCCAGGTGGAGTAGAGACTCGCTACAGCTGCTGTCAGGGAACCATGGGAGCTCCTGGATGTCAGGTGTTTAAGGTGATAAAGAATGAGAGATTACAATAACTATTAAATCTGCCAAAATGTTTTTTTTTTTTTAAATATCTTTTTATCCTGAGCAGTTGCATGTCCATGATTCTCTCAGTTTGGATGGGTTTGTTTCTACTGCCCAGAGACATCCCTCAGACACGAGCTGTCCTGGGGTTTACTCCTTGGATTGTGAAATGGTAATATCCTTTTTTAAATTATTCTGGGCTTTGATACCAAAACTTGTGAAACACTAAAAGAAAGACGGCTGAGTAAAGTCTTTTTTTTAATGTTTAAATATGACTTCATAAAATAACATTTTAACAGACTAAAACATTCAGTAAAACCTTATTTTAAAATGTCAAGTATTTTTTAGTTTGAATTTTGTCTTTGGGTAAATGTATTGAAGCAATAGTTTTATTTCTGGTCATGAGACATTTTTATGTAAGAAGTTTATCGTGCATACTTGCTTGATGACGACACAATTTTTGTAGGTGGAATTTTCTATGTTTAAGTGTAGATGCACAGTAAAACAGTGTGTTGTGTGAATGTCTTTAGTGTTACACTCTTCAAGGTCTGGAGCTGTCCAGAGTGACCGTGGTCAACTCTAACCTTCAGGTCATCTATGACACCTTCGTCAGACCTGATAACGAGGTGATCGACTATAATGCCAGGTAATACCATTAAGCATTAGAATCAGGTTTTCTAAACTTAAAAACGTACATTTTGTTCATATTTGCCAAAAAGTAGAAGTTTGCCTCAAAGCTCTCAAAGCAGCTAAAGAGGCACAACTAATAAAAATTCCTTGACATCATTAAGACTTTGTAAAAAATTATATGGATAAACAGAAACTCTACAAATCAGTGATTGTAGCATGAAAGTAACTTGTTTCTGGCACTTGCCTGATTTTTATTTTTTATGTATTCAGCATTTTGTTTTCCCCCCAGATATTTTCTTATGCCTCGGTCTTTTCTGGTAATGGCCTGTGTGAAACTTGTGTAGGTTTTCAGGCATCAGTGAGGCGGATATGAAGGGTAATCGTACCCCTCTCAGAGAGGTCCAGGAGACCTTGTTGAGCTTCATCAGTGCCGACACCATTCTTGTTGGACACGAGCTGGAAACAGACCTCTGTTTACTGAAGGTGACTGCTACAAACTTCTCATTAATGTTGTTTTTGTTCTTTTCACAGGAGATTGCCATTCTTTTCATACATTGTTTTAACGGGCTACACATAAGTAAGAAATCGGATTTTTAAGACAAAACCAGGTTTGAAAAATGTTAAGTTCACCTTTACCATCTTTTTTAAAATTCCACTTTATGTAACATAAATTCACAATACATTACTTGAGGTACATTTAAGACATTTTGAGAAAATGGGTTTCAAATAAATATTAATAAAACAATGGATAGCAGAGGAGACTAAGATTAGCATGCAAACTGAATGCAGAAGGGTTTAGTTTACTTTTCTCTCGATGTAATGTGGATATTGCACTGCCTGGTCAAAAAAAGTTGCCACCTGGATTTAACTAAGCAAATAGGTACGAGCCTCCTGTTGGATAATTACTGCATGGGTGATTGTTTCAGCTGGCAACAAGTTATTTAACCCCAACTGGTGCAATGAGTTATTTCTTAAACAACCATGTCGAAAAACGCATCGCGTGGTCGTGGAAAAGATGTGAGTCTGTTTGAGAAGGGTCAAATCATTGGCATCAAGCAGAGAAAACATCTAAGGAGATTGTAGAAACTACTAAAACTGGGTTAAGAACTGTCCAACGCATTATTAAAAACTGGAAGGATAGTGGGGACCCATCGTTTTAAAGGAAGAAATGTGGCTGGAAAAAAATCCTGAATGATCGTGATCGGAGATCACTTAAATGTTTGGTGAAATCAAATAGAAAAACAACAGTAGCACTCAGGGCTATGTTTAAAAGTGAAACTAAGAGCACATGCACAATGTGAAGGGAACTCAAGGGATTGGGACTGAACAGCTGTGTAGCCTTAAGAAAACCACTAATCAGTGAGGCTAACTGGGGGAAAAAGCTTCTATTTGTGAAGGAGCATAAAGATTGGACTGTGGAGCAATGGAAGAAGGTCATGTGGTCTGAGTCCAGATTGACCCTGTTCCAGAGTGATGAGTGCATCAGGGTAAGAAGAGAGACGGGTGAAGTGATGCACCCATCATGCCTAGCGTCTAGTCATCAGTGCAAGATCTTGGTGAAAAATTAATGCAACACTGGATGGAAATAGATCTTGTGACATTGCAGAAGCTTATCGAAACAATGTCACAGCGAATGCATGATGTAATCAAAGCTAAAGGAGGTCCAACGAAATATTAGTGACTTTTTTTTGACCAGGCAGTGTATTTATTTTTCCTGGAATAAAAGTAAACCAAAGGTTGGGCTAGAGTACTAGAATTGCATCTTTGTTTGAGGTGTGATCAGTGCGTTAGCCCCAAATATCTTCCTCTTCACTGTAGCTGCTTCATGGAATGGTGGTGGACACATCAGTGATCTTCCCCCATCGTCTAGGTCCACCTTACAAGCTGAGCCTGAACAGCCTCACAGCTGAACACCTCAGGAGGATTATCCAAGAGAGTGGTGGGTTGCCACCATACCAGTGTTTGTAATTCATATTAAAAATGATGAAACTAGTTTAATGTAAAACTTGAGTGTTTCTAAATGTATACTGCTGAGTGAGCTGACCTTTGTATGAATATGTTAGTCACATATTGCTGTTTCTCTCAGTTTGTGGCCATGACACTGCCGAAGATGCAGCTGCCTGCATGGAGCTCATGCTGTGGAAGATGAAAGAAGATGGGAAGCTAAAAAAATGACAACACTCCCACTGATTATACGTGAAAAATATTTTTCTCTGTTTTGTGGCATGGAGGGCTTTTTTTTTTGTTTTTTGTTTTTTGTTTACATGATTTAATTATTCCAGTACTTCAGTACTTTAATTTTCTGTTAAAGTTTGGCTTAAAGCTCATTTTCCATGCCCGTCGGAATATTTGGGATGACCCTAATATGAATTTCCAAATAAATATAAAGATTTAAAGCTGTGTGTGGGTGTGTCCTCTGTCACCATTAGCCAATGAACATTTAGTATTTAATACAAAATTGACCTCAGGTGCAGATATGCAAATGAGCACACCTGTCAGAAAACGCACCTGTCGGAAAACACCTGTCAGAGAATGAAGTAAAAAAAAAAAAAAAAGTGTTGACCAAATAGTCAGATGCTACTGTTAGGATATGTTATCAGGCTTTCCATTTCCTCGTTAGCTCTTTACAATAAATATTTTAGTCTATTCATCCTTTCTCTTGGTCTTTTTTCTGCTGCAGCATCTCTGGAAACAGAAACTGCAGGTCTTGATGAAGATGAACATGAGAAGTAAAACTATAATGAGGAGGAAGCTCAGGACATCCAGGCTGTGGTACTGGTACCAGGTGAGCTCGTGGGCCTGGACTCTCAGGTGTTTTGCTCCTTTGTTTCTCATGGTGTACTCGATCCAGAAAACCGCCTCATCCAGAGGACTCATGGGTCTGTCGTGGTGGATTCTGGACAGTCTCATCATGTTTTCTTTGTAGCTGTGATCAAGAACAAAAGGGAAAATGAGAACAAGATGTGCACATCTTGAGCGTGCATCCGGATAAGATGTGCACAGTTTGGCTAGTAGTGTTAAGATACAGTATGTGTGTTAGGGTTGAGCTTTTCACACAAACCAATAAATCCGTGTGTAGGGCAAAGGACATGCACTGATTTAATCATACATGCGCTGTCATTACATTTGATTGCTTCCCACCTTCTTTATGGCAGTTCAGTTTAAACTTTTCCAAAGAGGCAAATTGCCTAAATAATTTTTTACATAAGTGCAGAAAAGCTAAAGAACTTACGATTTGTGGTTGATGACGGTTTTTATTGCATCTCTGAGGTCTTCTGCTTTAATGAAGTTTAGGTTCAGAATAACTGCAGCTCCTTTGGACTTCACATGTACCATGTTATCTGGTTGGTCAGCAAACATGGGGATTCCCACCATGGGGACACCGTGGTAGATGGCCTCGTAAATCCCGTTTGTTCCACCGTGAGTGATAAAAGCTCTCGTTTTAGGATGACCTGATGTGAGCAAAATTTATTAAACTATTAAAGGTCAAGCTGATGCTACTGCAACCTCAGTCATAAATTTATATTAAGATTAAATGAAGCATTTTATTAAAAATAACATGTAATCAAATAGTTGTCAGATTAGATTTCTTAATTTGAGATCCAAACAAGTTAAAAATGATGTACGTAATCAAAAAGAAAGCAACGCTCTACTGGGTGCCGTTTTTATTCCAGATCACATATTATTGTTAAACTGTAACTTGTTTCTCCTGTTTTAAACAGTGCAAGTTGTTTAAAATGGGAGAAACAAGTGACTGACGTACAGAATAACCTTCTAATTGAAGCATTTATTTTCTATGTTTATTTCATTGGTTCAACCATCTGTTCTTGAACGTGCTGGAAGCTGAGCTCTGCTTACCCAACAGGTCATTTTGAGGGATCCATTTGTAAATTTTGGTGTTGGAACCCAGAAGTTTTGGTTTTTCTCCACTGTATCTCCACAGTACCTACAAATAATAATAAAATATATATATATAAACCAAGGTTATGATAGTCTCCTATTTTCAACACATAGTGGAATATCCAACATTTTTCAGTCAGGTCATCTGGACAGTTTCTTTTTTTTGTGCTGAAACGTTTCACTTTCGATCCGGAAGGCTTCATCAGTCAAGGAAACACAACACAAAACTGATTATTCCCCCATCAGCTTACTCCAAAGTGGAACAAACCAGTTCTGCTTGTGATAAGATGGTCTCTTTGGTACG